AGAAAACTTTTAAAGGGAAATTAATCTATAATTAATCACTTCAAGAGAGCGAGAGAAGACAGGCATGATGGTGCATGCGTGCACTCTCAGAATTACAGGAAGCTGAGGCGGGAAGATCACAGGTTTGGGCACGGCATGGGCAACTCAGTGAGGCCGTGACTCAAAATTAAAAATGCAACAAAAAAGGCAAGAGAACATATTACACTCATGAAACAAGAACAAGGAACTCTTCAAAACTGGGAACACAGAGAGGTTTCCAGCTTCCACCAACACAGCAAAACAGCCCAGACTGCTGGTTCTCCCACCCCAAAATGATCAACCTGCAGCAGTGAGGAAAGCCAAGGGCTCTGGGTGCTTTGCACACATCTGAATTCTTCGAAAGCTTTAGGAAGAAAAGATTGCTGGGTCCCCCCCACAGTAGTTCTGTCCACAGGATAATGTCAGATGGAGCCAGTGTCAGTGGGCCGAAGAATGAGAAGAGCCTGGACTGAGCAGATTCCCTTGGGAACTCTTTGTTCTAAGGACTTAACAACAAAACCCCAGACAGAGAAGGTAACGGACGGGACTGGGGCCACTGGGGATGCACAGGACGAATCTCACTGTGTCCTCATAGCTTCACCCTCAGGTTCTCCTCCTCCTCCTCACGTTCAGTAAAAGGGCTGCCAATTGCCCAAAGTACCCCACCAGCCAAAAGATCTGAGGGATATAACTACTTAAGATGAGCGACGAAGCCAGCAACATCTACCATCTAAAGTAAAATGACCAGAGCAGGCAGACCAAGAATTTCAAGTAGGCCTGATAAAAAGACATAAGAATATAAAGAAAAACACTCTGGAAGAAAAATGATAAATTATAAAGAACCAAGGGGAAATATTATACATAAGAATATGGTAAAAGAAATAAAGAATAAAATATGGAGCAGTTCATATGACCTGTACATCTGAAAAATACATTAAAGACTCATTAAGACTTAATTGAATTGGGGCTGGGGATTTAGATCAGTGGTGCCACTGCCTGCCTCACAAGCGCAAGGACCTGAGTTCGATCTCCGGTACAAAAAAAAAAAGACTTAATTGAATAACTTTTTCAGAGAAGAACAGAATATAGAAAAATTAATTTTTTAAAGCCCTGAAACACGTCTAAAGGAAGCGGTCACACACTGTAAATAGGAACGAGAAGATATAATATAGGAAAGAGACCTGACATGGAGGCACATGTCTCTGAGCCTAGCATTCTGGAGCCATGGACAATTCACTGACTTAGTGAGTGAGACCCTGTCCCAAAATTAAATATACAAAGGAGAAGGAGAAGGAGGGGGAGGGGAGAGAGGGAGAGGGAGAGTTGGCTAGGCATGTAGTTCTGGGTTCAATCTCAGTCATGAAAAAATTGAAATAATGGTGAAGACCGGAACTAAATTTGAAATTATGAAAATGTCAAATGTTCCTCAGGACGTGGAGCAACGCAAACTATGAACTGTCTGTCTCTTAGGCTGTGCACTGGTACAACTACTCGGAAAATACTGACACTGTGCAGACCAGAGAAAGTCAAATAGGCACATGATTGACATCCTAACAATCCACCACTAGGTATCCACCTTGGAAAAATCCTTAAGCACATGCACCAGGAGAAGTAAAAGGATTATGACAATGTAATCCTTCCTTGGAAAAACCCAGCATCCACCAATAGTGCAATGAATAGATAAATTGTGACATAGCCATACAAAGGAACATAAAGCAATGAAAAATAAGTAGCACATTTAATTATCAACATGTGCATATATCAAAAATATATTACTCTAAGAACATACTTTAAGGAAAACATCACAGTATTATTCCATTTACATCAAGGCCAAAGTCAAGCTAGATTAAGTAATATATTATCAAGGAATACATATTAGGTGGTTTAAAAAAAAACATAAAAGCAAGAAAAAATTCAAACAAAATTCGGGATAGCACTCACTTCCAGGAGGAGAGAGAGTGAGATACGACAGGGAGATCTGCTCAGGAAATTCTGAGCAGTTGTTTGTATTTTCTTTTGTGATCCTGGCAGTGAGTATCTGGGTGGGGCTTTTTACTGTATTCAAGATGTACATATATGTTTTTATAAACTTATACTTTTGTACACTATAGAGTATTTTTATAACAAACATAAATTTTCTAGAATTAAAGAAAGAAAAAAAATTAATGGAATGAAGAAAAAGGGATAGAGAAAAACAACAGGGCAAAGAAAAAACATGAAATAAGATATGATAAATCCTAAATATAATAGTCATTACTATAAGTGTAAATGGGTTAAACTCACCAATCAAAAGATTAAAATTGTCAGGTTAGATTTTAAAACTGATTTGGCAACAGGATCATACTGTAAGAAATATACTTAGAAGAAAAAGAGCAGAAAGGTTAAAAATTGAAAAACATAGTTTAAAAGCAAGAGCCAAAATAAAACATTCAACAAAATAAAATTTAAGACTAAAACAGAAAATTTTAAGGGATTAAAAAAAGATACCAAGGGTGAAGGCAGGGTAGGGGTAAAGGGAAAAAATGAGAATCAAGACTTGTCATGTAGAGGTACAAGATCCCAACAATGAATGTAACTGTACTGTATCCCTAAAATGTACCAATAAACTCAATTAAAGCTGAAAAAAAAAGATACCAAATGCTATCTGTCTTAAACATAAACATACCTGTTTCAAAATGCAAAAAGCAACAAGTGACATAAATTAGACAAAGAGATAAATCAATTAAAGTAACTGATGATTTTGATAGGCCTTACCCCCAAACAGATAAATCAAGGAGGCAAAAGATAGGTATGAAAATGGAGAAGATCCAGATAACAGAGATAATAAATTTCAGCAGAACTCTACACCAAATGAATAGACAAAGTCTATCATTTTGAGCACACACAAAACATTTCTAAATCAAAATGGTATACTGAGTCACAAAGAAACCTAAAATTTTTTTAAATCCATACTATAAGCAACATAGTTCTTAAATCATAAGCCTGTAAAATAACAAAATAGTATTTTCTTAAAACTTCATGTTTGGAAACTAAGTAGTATAGTACTACATACTCTCTGAGTTAGATGATTAATATAACATGCAAAATAAGAAATAGTTAAAGCTGGATAAAAAAGTCAACATTTATGGTATAAAAATCATATTTAGGACATTTATAAATTTAAATAAATCTTTTGGGAGACAGAAAGAATCAAAACCAAATAAAGTAAGGATTCTAATCAAGGAGCAAATTAAATCCAAAGAAATAATCAAAGAAACAATACAGGAGAAAAAACTATTACTGAACAATGTATGCTTAATATATAAATAATCATTAAGTTTTTGCAAGAAATTACTTATTGTAGCCAGTTGTGGTGGCACATGCCTGTAATCCCAGCACTCGGGAGGCTGAGGCAGGAAGATTGCTGTGAGTTCGAGACCAGCCTGGGCTACATAGTAAGTTCCAGGTCAGCCTCAGCTACATAGTGACCCTATCTCAAAAAACCAAAAAAAAAAAAAAAAAATTACTTATTGTGATGAAAGTTTTAAAAAATAATTCTAGGGGCCGGGGATTTAGCTCAGCAGTTCAGTGGCCTGCCTTGCAAGCACAAGGACCCAAGTTCAATCCCCGGTACCAAAAAACAAAACAAAATAAAAAAATAATTCTGAAGACCATCCAAGGGCTGTAGGAGTACCCAAGGAAGCTGAAGAAACAGAAGCGGGCACCTCCTCCACTCTGGGATCTCCCTCCATTAGAGATAGGTATAGTGTCAGTCCAGTAGATGGCAGGAACTCTCTGGTTCCCCTGGATCAGAACCTGTCAAGCACAGAACCGAGGGTCCAGATTAGCAAACAAGAAACCCCCACCAGAGGCAAATAGCTGAGACTGGCAGGCAGGACTCTGACCACTGGAACAACAAAACACGCAAAGACACTTCAGGAGAGTCCTCTAAACCAACCCCAGTTCACAGTTCTCCTGCTTCGATGTCCAAAGTACCTCCCTCTCCTCCTGCTCATCATCCAGTCAGCATAATGCCATCCATGAAGTGCAGCGGTGTGATGATCTGTGGAATAAGAGAACTGAGGTCGGCAGACTATTGTGGCACAGAGCAGGAGAGCAGCCGTAGCACTGAGGCAGCACCGTGGAGACACATTATAAGTGCTACCAGGTGAAAGCAAACAGCTATTGGTGGCTTATTTTCTTTTTCAAATTTGTACAGAGAAAAAAAAAAGCATTAACCACATCAATAATTACATACAGAATGTCCAGGGTTGGTCTGATTCATTCCAGTAAAGATACAAAGAAGCAACAGCTGCATTTGGACTGCCTTGAATCAATGTGCTCTCTGGCATCGCTATGCTGGCCAAACAGGTGAACTGAATAGGAAAGTGATAGCTATCACTACTTCTGTTCTTTCAGTGATGGATGATGGCTTAAATCTCCAAAACTTCCCCCAAAGTGCAATATTGTCTCTGATTGATTACCTGGGTACGGAGAAGTTCTACAAATTTCCATTTAGCCCTTCCAACCATGATGGTCCAAGAGCCAATACAAGGGTACTGCCAGTTTGCCACCATACGATTGCCATAATACATTCAAGAGCTGGAGAAAAACCCACTGGAGTTGAGGTGAGCAGGGAGGTTTGGGATGAATTAGGCACTCGTGGGGCTGAGGCTTCAGCTGAGGCTCCACATATCCCCTGATTACCATACTCTTCCTTTTGGGTTTCCGGGAGTTAGTATCAGTTCACAGCCAGGGTCTAGTAATCTCCAAAAGTTTTGTACACAGTATTTCCTTTTTCTCAATGCATAGTCACTCTAGCCAGTGGCCATGGGGTCCTTCTGGATTAGGCTTGGGAAGAGACTGACAGCAAGACTGTGCGAGAGCAGCAGGCCCATCCTCGAAGGACCTCATGTCTCCATTGATCCAGAGTCTCTCGACCTGGAAACTTGTCTGAAAAACTGGTGACTCAAGTATTTTCTCCAAATTTTTCTGTTGTACAGATCAGGAAATATTTTGGTTTGCCGCCCATCTATTTCATCCTTGGGAATCCTGCAATCGATTGGCTATCACCAAAGATCTCAAATGTGAAACTCAGATCTTGTTGAAGAGCTTGTGATACTAACCTACGACACAGCTTCCGGCCAGGGAAGAGCAGGACAGAACTGGCCAGTGGAAAAACAGCACCAGTAGGCAAGAATCTGCCTCAAGCCTCCTGGAAGGAAACTGTGGTAGTTGCTGCTGAGCTCATTACCTAGAAGACACATGGAGGACCCCCTCATGGTACTCACAGGCAAAGGGCCACCAAGACTTTCCACACAGCTGTGAGCTCCATGAAAGCCAACGGGAAGAAACAGACCTCAGAGACTGGAGGAGGAGCCCCTTCAGCAGGGTCCCTGGCGCTCTCACACAGCTCCCCATCCTGCCCACTGCCACGGAAGACAGGGTCCAACCTCTGTCACCAGCAGGCAATCAAAGGCAGATTTGGGGCTGAGATGCAGTATGGCTGAAAGGCCGCACTAAGGCAGCAATAAACGAAACAGAAAAAAGTTATCAAGCCACGTGAAGACTGTTCGAAAAGATTACAAGAGAAAAGTCTTGGGCAAAATTAACCACAACAAAACAAGAAGACAAACAAAACAGGAACATTTGAAGAACAAGAAAGAGATCTTATAACTTCAAACTAGCATTACAACGATTTTTAAAATTCACTGAAGCGTTGGAATTCAGTTGGAACTTTCCCAGCAAATAGAACAACAAAAAACAAAATGTATAGAAAATGTGAAGAAACATGAATGGTTCCTAGCCCAGGGTCTCAGGAAGTCTCCTGTGTGCTCCTCGTAGCGCAGGCCTCCTTCAGTCCCGTGGTTCCGTCTTGCAGATGTGAGACTGGTGCGCAGCCAGATGTCTCTTGGACATCACTGTCTTTCCTTCTCTCTCCCAGCCCTCCCTCTCCCGGGGGACATTTCCTCCTCCGTGTCCTCATTTCCTTGTTTTGATGCATTGCATTTTCTAGCGGCCTCCTCCAGGAATGGACTTTTTTTTTCCATTGGTTTGTTTGTTTTCTAGAATTTTAATGTCCTAGAGTCAATCACTGTGTTACATATTTAATCTCCAAGCTGCTGAGACTTTCCTCTAATGTGTCCTAGTTTCTGACTTCCAAACCTTCTTATGCAACTTCCCTAACGTGGGAGCTTCTCTCCGTCCCTCACGTTCTGACATTCACAGTTAGGAGAGAGAGCTGAACACCACTTAGTAGATCCTCCCATGCTGGCCAGTTGGTGCTCCCACCTCTACTATTCTTGCCTTGATTACATCTCTTCCACTTTCTAATTTCTTTCTTGGAGAATGTGGTGCTCTTGGTGAGAGGTCAAAAGTGAGGAAGAACAGGACAGGGTATGAAGTGTGTTTTGAGAAGGGGCAATTGCATAAATCTAGGGTCAGAGGCCAGAACAGTGCTCCACTGGTCTTAGCTAGAGCAAAGGCTCTGTGGAATACACGGGTGAAAAATAAAAGTGACAAAGTGCTTGGAAGATGAAACATCTTACAGCGACTTAAATGACAAGGCAAAAAGCAGTACTCTGAGCACAGCGAGGAGCTACCAGACATTTCTGAAAGGAGGGTGCTACAGAGGCTGTGATGCTTAGCAGGACTCCCCTGCAGCAAGCCACCAGGCCAGCATCCTTCCTCCCCAGATGATGTGGGTAATGGCTGCTAATGGCTTGCACCAGGACTCTTCTGCCTCAGATTTCCTGAGCCACTGGCTCTGTGGCTGGTGATTGACTGACTGCAAGGGGAGTGAAGAGCCTCGTCTTCCTGTGTCTGGATGGAACAACCTCTTCAGTGCAATTTATGGCCCAGATTTCCTTTTGCAATTAGGCTGAGGCCAGACTCTCCCTGAAACCGCACCTGTGCCTTGCTCGCCCACGCTGTCCTGCCTCTCTCTCTCTCCCTGTGAAGCTGTTGCTGACAGCTCCCCCTCACGAGCTGGCAGGAAAGACCGGCTCCAAGTCTGCACCAGGAGAACCTAACAGAGGCTGGAGAGCGGTGTGATTAAAGCTATGCGGGAGGGACATGAGTCTAAAAGTGGTGTTTAAGGTCAGGTGGGGCAAGGAGACCTTGGATTGCAGGAAATGGCTAGGAAAAGGGGTCTAAAACAAGGAAGAAGGGGCGAAAACAAAAGGAGAAAGCAGGTTAGGGATCCTCTCCCGTGAGTCTTTAGTTCTCACGTAATGTGGCGGATGAAAAGGCCCTGACAGCGTCTCTGGTCCAGGTCAGGAGAACGGTGCCCGACACACGAACATCAGGTAGATGGAGAGTAATCTCATCTAGAGAAGGCCTCCTCATGTGAAACCAGTGCACAAGACCTAACATCTGTTTAAAGTCTGCAGTTTACAGAGCTCTCAAATGCATCTTCTCCTGTTTGCAAAATGGCTCTGCGAAGCTGGGCACAGTGGTGTACACCTGTAATCCCAGTAGTCTGGAAGGCTGAGATAGGTGATCACAAGTTTCAACCACCATGGGCAACTTAGCAACTTAGTGAGACCCTGTCTCAGATAAAAATTTAAAAAGGGCTGAGGATGCAGTTCAGGGCAAAGGCTCTGAATTCAATCCCTAGTTTCGAAAAAAAGAAAGTCTGTGAAATGGTACAGTAGATGCTTTCAATTTTTTACTCTCTCTGTCTTGTATCCCTGAGTGCCTCCAAGCACAGTAGAAGAAGAATCATCCTCATGCTCATTGGCTGTGGACTTAGACATGTGACTTACATGGCCAATGCAACATGAAGAAATGTACCAGAAGCAGAGACTTTTGATGCTCTTCTGTGATTTGGCCTGGTTTTGTGTTTTCATCACTTACCTTCAGAAGACTATGCCCCAGACTGCTGCTGATCCCAGGAGCATGAGAGGATAGGTGGAGCAGACCTAAATTCAACCCACAGCCCAGAGCTACCTGCAGCTGATCCTATCTGAGCCCAAAGAAGCATAGGTCTCCATAAAGGAGAAATAAGTGCATATAGTTCTAAGTGACTGAATTGTGGAAATATTCATTATTCAGCAATATTGTGACAATCACTGACTAATACAGCTAGGAAACCAGATATTGTTAAGATGTCCTATAAATACATAAAAACCGAGATACAAACACATAAAAATTAAGATACACAGAGGTTCAAAATGTGTCCAAGTCCATAGCTCAACAGAGAGGGTTAACTCCATTCTTATGTACCTACTCAACAGAAAGACTATAAAAGTTGACACATTTCATGGCTTAGAAGCCCTGCACTCAAAGGAATAATTTTTAAATGCTTAAAAAAAAATAAAGCACCGAGTTCGCTAATAACCTAAAAATGCATGTTTTCATATATGCTGCCTATTAAGTCTGTTCATATCGTATCAGCAAACATCATGTCGTCTTGGAGAGGTTCCTAGTTTTTCCTGAGAAATGTTTTTTCAACGCCTGAGTGAATCAAAATGAATGTAAATGAGGTTTATTAAGTCAACCCCACATGGTGCTGTATTGTCAGCATTTGTAGGGCTGTGACAGGTTAGTTATTGCAGTTTGAGGGAAATGTCACCAACACAGCAGTCTGCAGAATTAACTTAAAAATATATATGTATAAAACGTCTCAGGATTTTCCACCCTTTCAAGAATCGTCTCCTGGGAAGGTGACAGGGGACGGAGAGAGGCGAGGATTTGCTCATTCTTTCTCCTAGAGAATCAGTCTCTCACTACATGATACCTGAGGCCAAGGGTCAGGGTGCAGGTGACTCCCAGGATCCTGATGGCTACTGTTAATGATCTGTGAAGAGGAAGCAAAATAAGGGTGACTGGAGCTGACAAGCAGAGACGGGAGCCACTGCCGGCAGCACCGAGTGGCCTTGCACCCAGAGTGTCATGTTGGGCGGGGGTGGGCTGGAGCACAAGCAGTGGGTAAAGATGGCAAGTGAGGTGCGGGACGCTGAGTGGTGGAGCAGTGTCGGCGACTTCGAAGCGGCCGAGGGTCTGGAAGTGACTGTGTCACACTCCCAGGGCTCACCGAGGCCTCAGAGCGGGTTGGACAGGTAGTGAGCCCCTGGCTGACTTGATCTGGGAGCAGTCAGGACTATTTTCCTGAAATCGTTGCGCTCAGCCCTTAAGTTTGAGAGTCCAGGAGTCTCCTCTTTGAGGAGATGTCTCCTCCTGCACAAAGCTGTCTCACAGTAAAGGATACCAGATGAAGCTCACCCCCTACTTGAGCTACGAGTCTTAGTTTTTCAAAATACCTCTTAATTGAGATCCCCAAGGCCCTCGTGGCATGAATGACACCTGGCAACTGGAATTGAGTGCAGCAGCCAGAGAAACCAAAGGCGCCAAACCACCACGGGAGGCTGGCTGCACAGGGACATCTCTGACTTCTCAGATTTCGCTGCTGGCACCACCTGAACCCAGAGCCCCCACCAGACAGACTTCCAACTGGAGTGTGCACAGGGTTTCTCCCCACTCCAATTTTGTAGCTGCATCTGGGAGACCTGCCTGCCCTCCCTCACTTCCCTTTATATGAAGAGTGAGAACAAGAGTCAGGTACATTCATGTTTGACTGGTTTTACATTAGAGAAACTGCCACGAAAGTGAATTTCATCTTCCAAATGAACGGGTCTTGAACAAGTCTTTTTGTTTTGGTTTGTTTTTTTAATTCTATAGAATTTCTACCATTCCACACCGTGAATTCTCTGGGTAGGCTCTGCACCTGATATCTAAATTTATCTTTGACCACTGCTACAATCAGAAGCATATATTAAGTGATATAATAAACATCAATGTCTGTACAAAAATGAGCTTAGTGCACTCACTCGTTCATTTATTTGAAAGGCATTTGTGGATTGCTTATTGCCACTGACTCTCTGTAATCACACAGGCTAAGCCACTCAAATTGGGCAAAATCCTTATAGTTTTAAATGTGAATAAAGTTACATAAATGAAAGGCATAAGTATTCACTTTAGCGATTGATGTTGGCAGCTTTTTGAACAACAAGTAGAAAATTTCAGTGGACTTGGCACTCACCCAGCCTCAACAGACACATAGAATTCAGTGTCTTGGTCACTTTTTCCTCACTGAGGCACAATACATGACGCTCATAGCTTAAAAGGAGGAGAGGTTTATTTTGGC